GGGGGGCGCCCGAGCTGCCGCGGCTGCGCCCCGGCTCCAGGCGGGACCGCGTAGCTCGCGGGAGGACCATGGCGTCCCCGGCGCTGGCGGCGGCGCTGGCGGCGGCGGCGGCGGCGGCGGGCCCCAACGCGAGCGGCGCCGGCGAGGGGGGCAGCAGCGGGGACGCCAACGCCTCGGGCGCCGCGCCGGGGGCCGCCTGGGGGCCGCCCCCGGGCCAGTACTCGGCGGGCGCCGTGGCGGGGCTGGCTGCCGTGGTGGGCTTCCTCATCGTCTTCACCGTGGTGGGCAACGTGCTGGTGGTGATCGCCGTGCTGACCAGTCGGGCGCTGCGTGCGCCACAGAACCTCTTCCTGGTGTCGCTGGCCTCGGCCGACATCCTGGTGGCCACGCTGGTCATGCCTTTCTCCCTGGCCAACGAGCTCATGGCCTACTGGTACTTCGGGCAGGTGTGGTGCGGCGTGTACCTGGCGCTGGACGTGCTCTTCTGCACCTCGTCCATCGTGCACCTGTGCGCCATCAGCCTGGACCGCTACTGGTCGGTGACGCAGGCCGTCGAGTACAACCTGAAGCGCACACCGCGCCGCGTCAAGGCGACCATCGTGGCCGTGTGGCTCATCTCGGCTGTCATCTCCTTCCCACCGCTCGTCTCGCTCTACCGCCAGCCCGACAGTGCCGCCTACCCGCAGTGCGGCCTCAACGACGAGACATGGTACATCCTGTCGTCCTGCATCGGCTCCTTCTTCGCGCCCTGCCTCATCATGGGCCTGGTCTACGCGCGCATCTATCGCGTGGCCAAGCTGCGCACGCGCACGCTCAGCGAGAAGCGTGCGCCCACGGGCCCCGACGGGGCGTCCCCGACCACTGAAAACGGGCTGGGTGCTGCGGCGGGCGCGGGCGAGAACGGGCACTGCGCGCCCCCGCGCCGCCCGTGCGCCGACGTGGATCCGGAGGACAGCAGCGCGGCGGCGGAGCGGCGGCGGCGCCGGGGTGCGCTGCGGAGGGGCGGGCGGCGGCGCGCTGCGGGGGAAGGGGGCGCGGGCGGCGCGGGCGGCGCCGACGTGGCGGCGCCCGGGCCGGGGCCAGGAGCGAGCGATTCCGGTGCGCTGGCTGCCGCTAGGTCCCCGGGTCCCGGCGGGCGCCTCTCGCGCGCCAGCTCTCGCTCCGTCGAGTTCTTTTTGTCGCGCCGCCGCCGGGCGCGCAGCAGCGTGTGCCGCCGCAAGGTGGCCCAGGCGCGCGAGAAGCGCTTCACCTTCGTGCTGGCGGTGGTCATGGGCGTGTTCGTGCTCTGCTGGTTCCCCTTCTTCTTCAGCTACAGCCTGTACGGCATCTGCCGCGAGGCCTGCCAGGTGCCCGACCCGCTCTTCAAGTTCTTTTTCTGGATCGGCTACTGCAACAGCTCGCTCAACCCGGTCATCTACACCGTCTTTAACCAGGACTTCCGCCGTTCCTTTAAGCATATCCTCTTCCGACGGAGGAGAAGGGGCTTCAGGCAGTGAGCCGCGTGCCCGGCCCCGCGCAGACCCTGGACAGCTCCAGGCGGCACCTTGGGAAGGCATACCCCCCGCCACCCCAGCCCCGCCAGGAGAAAGCGGGGGCAGCAGCTTCCCCCAGACCCAGGGATGGATTGACCTCTGGGACATAGGGGAGGGTACCGCAGGGCAGGAGTGTGGGCTGAGGGACGGCAGGGACCCCGGGGAGGGGGTGAGGAGAGAGGGGCAACCCCTCTGCCTTTCCATCTCAGCAAAGGGCTGCTTTTGGGCCTTCGGCCCGGATCTGGCCCTGGGGGCCCCTGCAGAGGTGCGGCTGTGAGGTCAGAGTCTCAGACAGCAGAAGTGAATGCAACCTCCCTAACGGGCAAGAAAGGAGCCCACCCCCCCAACACACACCGCTACCCAGATCCACCTCTGAGCAAGGGCTGACTTCCCCAGGACCGTGGGGGCGGCTGTCTTGGGGGAGGAAAGAGGCAGTGACAGTCTTTGGTTATTGAAAGTATTTAAATGTTTGCCAAAAACGACAGCCAAAACAACCAAACTATTTTCTAAATAAACCTTTGTAATCTAAGTGTTGGGAGAAGCTGTCAGTCCTTAAGCCACCAGCAGGGGTGGGGGGAGGTATCTTCCAGAACTCACCCTCCTGACCTCCCCCAGGGGGTGGAAGGAGGACAGTCTTGGTCTTCAGATTCCAACATCCCCTCTTGCAGGAGAAGTGAGGTGGTTTTTTTTTGTTGTTGTTGTTTGATACTAATGGTAAAATTCTTGTGCTGTAGTTGGCTCAGAGGCAAAAGAAACCAAGACGCCCCCGCCCCTCAGATTGGGTCTCAGTTTAGATCCAAGAACCTCATCCCCATCCCTGACCCCCATCCAGTTCCTGGGCTGGGAGACCCTCCCCAGTGGAGGGAGGCAGTGCTCCCTGATCCAAGTCTCTAATTTTGCCTGCCGCCCCCCCCCCCACCAGTAACTTTGGGTCAGTCTCCTACCCCTGAACACTTCATGGGTTTGTCACTTTGGAGGAGGTAGGGTGGATGAGCGCTGCCCAGAAGGGGGCCCCACCCACAGATGGGGTGGGGTGGAGGCCAAGACGAGTCCCCAGATCTTTATTCCATACCAGAGACCTTTAGCAATTTCTTATTGTTTTTTGAACATCAAGGCTCAAAAACAATGGGACCATCTGCATTGGCCAGGGAGGTGGCTGGACCCTGCTTGTCTTCCCTAACCCTCCACCCATGCAGTCAAGCCTTGCCCTCTTGCTCAGCCCTCCCCCATACCCCAGGGTGTCTGTGCTCACTCCACTCCGCGGCTTGAGGAGGGGTGGCTAGAAGAAGCCAGCATTAAGCGGAGTGAAGCAGTCCTCCCCCCAGACTCTTCCAGCCCCCATCACAGCCTACAGACTCCTGGTTGGTGGGAGCTCATTCTGCTGACCCCTGCTGTGACCCTCCTATCCTCCTGACACTCTGTCTCTGGCTCCCCATGGCCTTCGATATGTACCCCTCCCTGGCCAGCCCACCTGCCAGCCGAGCCCTCTCTTGGATCACCACCCATCTGCTTCACCTGGGGTGGCCATGGGTGTGTCCCCAGGATGGCTGAGCCCCAGGTCCTGCCTTTCATTCCCAAGTGACTGTCCCCTGAAATAGGAGCCAGGGGGGCCCCTTCCCTGGTCTAATGTGTGGGGGCTGTCCCTTGGAGAACCTTCCTCTGCAGCTGCCCCACCCATCACCCCAAAATATGGGTACTCAGGACACCCTGCCTGGGAAGAACGCCCCAGGACCATGCCCACACTGGCTCATGTGAAAGCACTCACACCTGCTATGTTTAGGCTCAGGGGGAGGTGGAGAAGCTGAGACAGAGAACATGGAGTGGGGGGTGGGAATGGCTAGTCAAGGCTGAGTGGGGGCATCCCTGACCTACTCCCGGGCAGGGGCCCACCGGGGTGTCCATGTCAGAGGCCCAGCTCTGTCGCAGGATTGCGGAGCTGGCTCGGGCAGACCCGTGCCCTCCCTGGGCCACAGCACCCCTTCTGTGAAGTTGGGGGGTGGTTGTTGGAAGCTCAGACCCCACTGGCTGGCCGATCTGAGGTCCCACTTGCCAATGGAATCGGGGGGCCCCCTGAGAAGGGATCTTCCTTTGGAGACTGCATGGCTGGCCCTGGTGCTCCCACTGAGCGGCAGGGTCCCCTCGGTGCCATGGGGCACCAACACCCCTACACAGGGCTTCTGGGGGATGCACCCTGAGTCTGCCACAGGAGCACGCAGCGTGGAACACGGCCCACGGAAGAATGTCAGCACAGCCTGCTCCGCTCGGTCCCTAATTGCGAGAGCTGCACCTTCCAGGGCTGTCTCCGGGCCCTCCGGCGCCTGGTGCTTAATACCCCATTCAGCGAGCAGATGTTCCCCACTCGCTGGTGATTGCCGCCTGGAGAGGCCGTCTTTTCAGCTGGATAAACAGAGCTGGAACCTGGCTTCTCACCCTGACCTGCTGCAGGGACACGGGCCAGCTGGCTGGCTTGGAGTCTCGCTGTCTCCATCAGCGCGGTGCAGTCTCAGCACGGTGCAGCGGGGAAGCTGCTGGCTCCCTGAAGTCCCAGAGACCGTCTTCAGGGGGAGTTCTGTACCGCAGGGAGTGGGGGGCCCAGACTCTGGCCAGTCCGCTGTGCCCTATTGCTTCACACACAGGCATCTGCACGTCTCCCCCAGGCTCACTGTCGACCCCATTCTGTGGCTGAAGACACTGAGCCCTGGGTTCCACAGGTGTGAGGGGGTGGGGCATGTCAGGAACCCCGAAACGTCCAGCTCCAGAGCCCAGGCCCCGAGCACCTGGCTCCGGAGTCCTCCGACCTCGGGTGTTCCCTGGGCCTTGCCTCTGGAGAAACATTTCAAATGGCCTCCTTTCTGCCCAACGCTTCCCCTTGGGCTCTAGGGAGATCTCAGACAGAATAAGGAAGCATCCCCAAAAAGATCAAGGAGGGCCAGGCCCCAAGTGGGGGGTTCGGCCCGAATGCTGTATCCAGCCCCAGCCCAGCCCCTATGCGGTTCTTAGGAGACATACAGAGACACACATTTGTTTAAATTAATTCTCGAATTTTAATTCAATTGCCGAGCTCGTAGAAAAGGGGGGAAAGGATAATCCAAATAATCCATTACTGCTCAGTATGGAACTAAAAAAAAAAAAAAATCACTCGGAGCAGGCGGAATGGATACTTGAGGAAAGCAGCTCCGCTCTCCGCTCTGCCCCGGGCTCTGGGGGTGGGGCTGCGGGGTGGGAGGGAACACGTTGCCGCCGCTTGCTGGCGAGGAAGCAGTCCTTCCCAGCGGCGGTGGTGCTGGCAGCGGGCTGCTTTTACCACATCCCTCGGCTGGACTCAAATATTCCAGCGCAGCTTCGGATCAAAACACACGCGCCTGCAGGCCCGTCATGAGTCTGGCTGGGCACTCGTGGCCAAGCCGATCGCTGTGTCCCCACCAACCGCCAGACCCCCGCATGCAAGGGAGAGGTGGGAGGCTGCCGGGCTGAGGATGCTCCGTGCCCTGCCAGGGCGCCCACAAGCCCCACAGCCCTGTGTGGGACCGCACAGGCATCTGGCCACGTGTAAGCCTGTGGCTCTCTCTGGGCAGGGATGGGCAGCCCTGCCGCACGCCAGGGGGCATCTGCAGGGTGCTTTGTAGACATGGGAGAGGGGCTCCCAGGTCGGGGAGGGGGTGAGTCCCAGGATGGTAGAAGTCCAGATCCTCCGAGCTGAGGAGCAGGTAAGAGTTTCCCACCTGGAGGATCCTTTGTCCCTGCTCTGGGTCTGCCACGAGTGTCTGGAGGGGCTCCAGGTGCCTCCCCCCTTCCTAAGGGCCATCCTCCCGTTTGAGCAACTGGGCTGTCCAGGGCATCCCAGGTTGGTGGGGTGGAGAAGCAGGGTGAGGGGTTTGGGTGGTTGGAAGCATCTGGTTTGCCCAAGAGGGACCCCAACAGGCACTGTGGGTCCTTTTGCTGCATGAACCTGACCCAACTTCCCAGCATCCTTTCCTGGCAGGCCTGGGGCTGGGGGTGCAGGGCCATGCTCTGAAGTCTGCCTGGGCAGCAGAGCTGACCGCCAGTGCGGGGTGAAAAGAGAGCTCTGGGGACCAAAATTGTGCCTTTTTCTTGCCAAGAGGATTTGTGGCTGCTCCCAGTGAAAGCCTGGGGTACAATGGGATTATTATTGTCAAGATAAGGATCGCTGTGCAGGGAGTGGGGGAAAGCTGGGCCAGAAAGCCCCGTGTAAGGGCATCTTGCTCTCCTGGGCGAGCACAGAATGTGGTCCGAGCTGCCCGGCAGTGATGGAGAGAGGGGAAACAAGACAGGCAAAGCCGGAGACCCGCAGGGCGGCTATGGAAGGCTGACCGAGCCTGGGCTGGGTTCCACCCCCCAGGTCTCCCTGACTCCAGGGGTGTCCTCTAGAGGGGGGCTTGCAGGACCGAGGAGATCCCTGGAGGGGCCCTCGAGCCACAGTCTCTGTTGGGCAGGGGGAATAGCTGAACTTCACGTGAGCTATTTCTTTTTTTTTTTTTTTTAAAGATTTTATTTATTTATTTGACACGGAGAGAGATCACAAGTAGGCAGAGAGGCAGGCAGAGAGAGAAAGGGAAGCAGGCTCCCTGCTGAGCAGAGAGCCTGATGCGGGGCTCGATCCCAGGACCCTGAGATCATGACCCGAGCCGAAGGCAGAGACTTAACCCTCTGAGCCACCCAGGCGCCCCATGAGCTATTTCTTATGTATTCCCGGGCCAGGCCCTAGCTGGCAGGGGGATAGGAGGACCGGGAGGATGGTCAGACTGTGGACCCAACAGTCCCTGGGAAGGGACGGGCCTAATGGCTGACACTGGGGCCTACACACCTGGCTCCAGAAAGAGGCTTTGGGGCTGCAAAGCTCAGCAGGCGCTGGGCCCCCAGGGCCCAGGACAAGCCCACATTGCCATTGACTCACAGGCTGTCAGCTCCTCTACCCCTGCCGGCTCATCCGTTCGATCGGCCTCTCCTGTGCCTTTATTAATTTATGCTGCACC